GAGAAAACAAACCATCAAGTGACATCACACACCAGGCCATCACTCGAGTGGAACCCGAATGGGAAATTACGAGTTGGTCGTCAGTGAGAGGGTGACATGGAGGAGGAAGTGATGTGAAGAAGAGATGAAAGCATGTGGGGAGACGTGGAGCCAGTTGAAAACGTTGTCAGAGAACCTAACGCTATGGAGACGTGCGGTTAAAGCCCCACGTTCCTCTAGGAACTAAAGAAAACAATAATATAAGAAGAAGAAATCTTTGTTGACCAATTAGAAAAAAATCGAAACTTACTGACCGTTTCTGAATATCCAAGATGAAACAAAAAGCATGACAACATTCTAATAGCAAAGGAGCATATTTTCTTAATGTTTTCAATCAGTACACAACTCAATACTGGCGGCCTACTTAAAACTTAAGCTACCAAAAGTCTCTATCACTAGACTGCATATGATTTTTCTTCTTCACTTAATCCATTGAAATATAACATATAATGGTATTATTTTTTAAAATATTTACAACCTTCTGATTCTCTAGTTTCTACTAAACACAAGAAAAAGCACAATCGTGAGTAGCAACATATTCGAATACGTGAGATAACTATTGCTTAGTTTTTGGCCTTGGGTCTCAGAATGCACTGCTGAACTTTTTATAATTGACTTTCAACCAAATGTCACGGTTTGCGCTTCAGGTTAGACAGCATTGTGTCACTCGATTGACCCACTTTCAGTTTGTCTGAAGATCCTGAATGAAGAGTAAACTTCATGCATTAAACTTCCCTAAAAATCCTGTACGTTGTGTAAACACTGTCCAGAAAACTGCTATTATTATTATTAGTAGTAGTAGTAGTATTAAGATAATATAATCAGGCTAATATTCACAGAGGATTAAATTATGTTTGATTGGTTGGAATATTTCATCATAAACTGACATCATTTAGGGAACCACTGGTAAACCTACATGGAGTACTGGACGACTTTTTCGTCCTACTTTGGGACTCTTCATCAGTAAGCACCCACCGGGATTCGAACCCAGGACCTTCTGGTTACAAGGCGAGCTCGTAGACCATTGAGCCACTGGGACCCGATCCAATGGCTGGCCCATGAATTCCAACTTCTGCCAATTTATGGGTGCGCACTGATGAAGAGTCCCGAGCCAAGGCGAGACAGCTGTCCAGTACTTCCAGGTTATCCAATGGTTCTCTAAGGGATGTCAGCTCATGATGAAATCCTCCAACCAATCAAACAAAAACCCTACAAAACCAATACTAAAAAGTTAAATTATGTGTTATACTGCGATATTGTTCAACATTATGCGACCCTAACTCTTTCATAAATCTTCTTAGAAAATATCAGTCCTATGAATGAACAATAAAACTACTTTATAATTTCTCATAGAATTGTAAAACAATCCACAATTCAATGTAGAAAAGCATGATTGGCTTACTATGCAGAAAATTGGGATGGTAATTAACTATGAACTAAATATCAGTTATCCGCACATAACGTGTGGGAGAATCATATGATTCTGCAAACTAAGTTGAAACCTAACTGACAACTAAAACTGCTTTGTTCAACCAACGCAGTGCAGGACTGATAACTAAAAGAAAACTAACAACGCAAATACTACCATGATCCAGGTTATCGCTTCAACAGTAATCAGTATCGCAATTCACTAAACAGAAAAGTGAATAAGAATTGTTGGTACCGAAATATGATTACTTCATCTGCTAACAAAAATTCTGTTATAAAAGCTAAAATTCAACAGAAGTGTCTAGCATGAATGTACAAAATGCTTCTCAAACATGAGTATTTGAGAAACTTTTCCTTACAGTCAGTTTCTTTGTATGCTGGTGAGATTAATGAAAAGAATTTAACAGAAATATTATGAGCAGACTTGATGCTTTAAAAAAGAAATTCTTTTACCTTCCCAGTGGAATATGGGGCTTCGAGTTAGAGGCTTGAAGTTCCTATAGCAGTGATGTTTATTTTTACGGGATGGGGTTGATAATCTCATACCCAACTTTTACTCTCTACCAGTCTTACTACTGGTTTAGCAAGGTGAAAGTGTGTCGGCCGGGATCGAACCCTGAACCACCTGCATGGCTGGCACGCATCCTATCTCTGTGCCGCCGACTCACCGATGCTTAGCCTTCCCCAATTGTTAATGGTATACCTAACATAACTTTATTCAAAGACATACCGAATATTACAAGAAAGACAACGTCATTTGTTTTTAATTGAGTTTTCATTTACCCGTTGATTGATTAGACTGAGATGTGTTGACCTCCTTTGACACATCAGCTTCAGTCAGTCAACAGGAAAATCGAAAAAATCGAGTCTCAGAGGGTACACTATCACTCAGTGGAAAATGCAGGCAAATCCGGATGATGAGTCCCAAGTAAGACGAAATATACATCCTGAATTTCACTGCTAGTCACCATTCACCAAATTACTTCAAAATCCACATAATGTTGAGTTCTATCAACCCAATGACCAAAAAATTACTTTTTGATGTTAGGTCTGCAGTGGTTTGATTGATTTCAATGCAGGTTTCCCGTTTAATAGAAATTCATTGTTCCATTTTTGGACTTTCTAGTAGTAGTAGGCAGTTAAAGTACACTTAGGGGAGTTATGAATTGAAAATATTACCAGTCACTGGGTTGAAATTCATTGCCCTATAAAATTCTAACTTCTATTTTGCACAGTGTAACACCACAGAAATGTAAATAATCTGTGGTCTTTGCGCATTTTATGCATATTTTTACAAGTGTATCTTTCTTTATGCATTAGCTGATTGATATTAAGTAATGAAATAATATCCCTCTAAAAGCCTAAATTTTAAAGTTAAACTGTACACCTCCAAGGGTGTAATAATCGATAATTTAATTAAAATGAAAATTATTTAACAGCCTAACTGTTCCACATAACAATATGCACTCAAGTCATAAATGGAAAATAAATCACTCAGAAACTTCATTTAACCCTGAACAGCAGAACTCTTACTGGTAGAAAATCATGAATGTGGTCTTGGGTTAGATCTCCAGCCGATGCACTCCTATACCTCGCGCAGCCGATAGTAAGCCTAGTAAAGAGGAAAGGTTGGGCATGAAGCTTGTAACCCCATCCCTTAAAAAATAAAAACACCACTGCTAGTGAAAGTTAAAAGCTTAAGCTTGAAGTCCTATGTACTGCTCGGAACACAAGGGAATATAAAAAATAAGAAAAACTCTAATCTACTAACTAATAGCAATCATTCAGTGATACTAGGTAGTGTGTGAAACACCTAAAAACTAGTCTGTTGTTCTGAATACTGTTGAACTATCAGCGGTGATGCTCGCTGGTGACTTGCTACAGGACGGAGTTTCCTGGAGTTCTAGTGAGAAGTTATGACCAGTGAAGATAATCTAGTCAAGAGTGAGAATGGAGTTCCCACCGATGAAACTGTTTGTTTGTCGCGCTAAATCACGAAATGGTAGAAGTTAGAATTCATGGGATGACCAGCGGATCGAGTCCCACTGGCTGAATGGTATACAAGCTTGCCTTTTAACCGGAAGCTTCTGGGTTCGAACCCCAGTGTAGTGTGTGTGTACTTCTGATGACTCTCAAACTAGGGTGAAATAGCTGTTCAGTGCTCCCTAGTTTAAGATGGTTGTCTAAATGATATCAATTCGTTGTCAAACTCTTATAAACAAGTTTATACGTAGTAGCTGTTGTGATGCCTGACACTATTTTTCAATACTCATTTAAGTTACTGATCTCGAAAGCATACTTCGAAATAACAGTAACTGGAACAGCTAAGAAGGAAAATAGCACTTCTTATAAATGTTCATAATGCTGGAATTACAGTATTTACGTGGATACTGTTTCACCTTAGTTTGTGAACCTATAACGGCTAGTACTCACTTCTTTACAGAGGATCAAAGTGTATGTCTATAAGCTACGAAATGATCAGGTAATTAATTAATGAGAAAGTCGAATTTCTGTCAGTCACATCCCGACAAATCAAACGATGACTATGTGCTTTATTACCTCACAATCACTATACTCACACTTTATCACTGTAATCTGCAAATGTTTGAACATTTCTTCACCGTTATAGTATTGAATTAAAGATGAAAGTAATTATCTTCTTCCACAACTCTCTCTCTCTCACCCTCTCTCTGACTGTTTTTTTAAGTGTTATTGGCCGTCAGTAACAAGCATGTTTAACATTATGTGAATTACGAGTTAAAATAAAAGCCTCTTCATTCACTTTCAGCTATTCAAGCCATTTATTCTCTACATTAAGAATTAATCAAATTAGCGTTAAGTGGTATTAACACTTAACTTAATCAGTTATGAAAAACTTCATCGTTTCTTTTGATTTCACTTTAAACTAAGTCAATTTTCAATTTTCCTTTTTCTTCTTAATGCCTACTTATATCAGATATCAGGATATAGTTACTAGCATGAGTCTTAAATGTTGTTGTCCCCTCCCCCCTCCCCTCTTCACCTCTGTCGACTACTTGACGAAACTATCTTCTTCTATTTTCTATGCTTTATCTATCTTAATGTTTCATCCCTTTACTCAATCTGAGTTCTGACTGTTATCACTTTTGCTTGTTGAAATGTTAGCTTAGTCTGTTACGTAACACGGTTGTGTCAATGTCATCAAATCAACCAATCATTTTAAGCACACAAAAAACATTTTGACTATCTTATTCAATTACTGATTCATCCCTTAGGTTCTACACACACACTTACACAGACATATGAAATAAACTCATATTATGACGAATAGTTAGATAGATAATGACATCTTAGTCTATTTTAATCACCCTGATTTTCTCTTCTTGTCATTAAATGAATGAGCCTTAGCTGTCCTATCACCAGGAGGATCTGATTACACTTTTAAAGAGGGAAGACAAAAAATATTAATATTAATTTAAACAAAGGAAAATTATTTCTCTAATCTTATTTTAATCATAAATTCTTTGGTTATCATTTATCTAATCATAATTGAAATGAATAAATCAGATGAAATTCAAATGACTTCGGAAATGAAAATACCGACGGATTATAATACTACTACTACTACTACCAGTAATAATATTCATATCATGAACATGAATAATACATCATCACAACATGAACCTGTGTTAGATTTATCGCATGGATCCAATACAAATGAACAGCTATTTCAACAATTCAACATTCAAGATTCACAATTGTTTTACGAAATGGGGAAATACAATACCACGTATCCACATAACATGTTAAACACTAATCATATCCCAGGAGAAGAACAAATATCTCAGAGTCATTCACCGATGCATATGAACCATTTTTGTAGTAGTGATAATATTTCATCGAATCATACTACTGGATATTATGTTCCAAATATACCCACGCCTGAACAGTTGTTAGCAAGAGATCAAGAGAAACAGTATGATCTAAACGGTAAGTATCTTTAGAACGGATGAATGGCCTTACTCTTTTTAAATATTTTTTTCTTCATAAAGCTGAGTAGTGAATCTGCACTGTTGTCGTTATTATGTCATCAGAAATTGTTCCAAAGATTTGTAAATCTTAAGAAAATGACTTCATGATTTCTTATCTGTATTCACAAGATACATGCTTATATTTAACCTGTAAAGTCTGCTGAAATCATAAAATATATTGCAGACGGATGTTTGTTCTTACCTGTTGAGTGTAGGTTCTCTGAGAGGATGTCCACTCTGAGTGGTTATGGCTTATCTGAAATACTTTATGTATAGTATTATTATTCCTTCCTTGAGTTTAAAGGGGAACATCGTCAACGCACTCGTCTATTGATCATCACTTTCAACGGGTTTCACGACTGCCCACAGGTTTTCATTTCCTCTCTACATTATTTCCTCCATGTCACTCTCGGACACTGAACCCATCGCTTTCCACTCAGATTCTCGAATGGAACCTGAGTGGCGATTGATGTCATTTGGAGGTCTCCTCAGCGTATAACCAATCCGTCGCCATTTCTTTCTGAATATTAGTCAGATAATTGTTTGTTGTTTAGTTCTTCGCTAGAATTCCTCGTCGTTTTACCCTCCTCGTGAACCATCTGATCTTAACCACAGATAAAGTGAAAGTAGCTATTAATGAAAGTTGTAACAGACTGTTTGAAGTGCTTTTGATGAAGGAGGCATTAAGTTTCTGAGTCATACTGAAACAACAATATGACAGTAATTTTAGAAATTCGAATCTGTCCCGCCTTCCAATTCCTAGCTGACTTTGACATCCTCATTCTTGCTGTCTGTCTGCAGTTGAGACGTTGCTGTCAAGGTCAGGTAAGGGAAAGAGACGAATTCCGTTGGACTCCTCTCATCGATGGTAATTTGTGTTTTTTGTTGGTGGGGTCTCAAAAAGTCTCAGTCAACTAACCAGCAAGAAGTGACACGATAAACTAAAATGTCTTATTTAAAATCCGCTTCCCATTAGAGGGCAACACGAAGGGAAAGATATAGTGAAACGGAAATGTATTTAACAGCTAGATTCTACTAATTCAGGATTCTGAATCTCTGTACTGAATTCACAGAGTGTAAACTGTTGGAAATCAACTGTGAGGTATCGCAGTTATTATGCAAAGTTAGTGCCTTATGCTCTACCGTGTCCTAAAAGGTGAATGTCGGTTTTCACACTGGTTTACACGTTGGTATCGATCTGGCATAAAGACTTTTCTAAGAATAATACATAACCCAATAATCGGCATTTGAAAAGTCTGTAATAAAGATCTGACGAAAATCTCGATGCTGCTTCAATATGGTATATAAAGCATTCCCTATGAGGGAATGACTTAACTACTGTTTTCAGAGGTTTCTTTAAAAATCAACTGTTAGATGTGTGAGTTATTAATTAGTCTATTTGTCTCAGTCACTGATATTTGCATGAGAGGGTTTAGTAAGAGTGTTGCTGCTTTGTGTTTCATTTGTTTTATCGAATTATTATTATTATTTTACTCATTTACGTTCCCAGTGTAACATAGGGTTTCAAGCTAGGACTTTGAAATCTCGGCAGCAGTGATTTTATTCCTACGGGATGGGGTTTATAGCCTCATGCCAAACCTTCCCTCTTCACCGGTCTTACTATCAGCCTAGAGAGGTTTTGGAGTGCATCATCTTTGAACTGAACCCCGGACCACTTGTGTGTCTGATAAGCATTCTACTGAGGAACTACTGACGCATTTTGTCACGTGCGCATAATGAAAAATCAAAGTTTCAAAGTTCGTTTAACTGGTTACTCGTCAGATTTAAAACATCCCTAAGTTATTATTATATTTGATGGTAAAACTTCAAAGCTCAGTACGACTTTGTGACGATTTACAAAAATAGACTTCTGAATACTGACAGAAAGTGTGGAACTGCAATACAGAGATTTTCACAGACAATTTGTGTAGAGTATTTTCTTATGTAATCATTTCTTTATCAGTCTCCATATGAGATGGTTCAGAAAAGGACGGTAATGTTAAAACTTACCTGATTATGTAACCCTTAAGATGTTGACTTATCCATTTCAATTTACATTTATATTACAGGTCAAATAAACTTTCTAAATTTGTTTCGTCAGACATGGTATATTTATCAACAATATTTGACACAGTCGAACAATTCCCTTCAGACAGTTTATCCTTGCTGGACAGATGATTACCAGTACTTTGTAAATAACAACCTGTCAGCAATGGCTTTTAATCAACTTTCAAGTGTATCAGCGCCGAATCGAAATGATGCACAACGTCATCATATGGAAAGCACAATACCTTCTGAGTGTTCTTCAATGCAGACGCTATTCAGCTCAATGTTTGAGACAATAGACAATAATCGACAGAAGGTTACACCAGTTGGAAAGTATTCTGAAAATGATGTTAATGATATTAAAAATATTCAAAGTAATCATGATGATTCTAAATCCCCTGAAGATAGACCCCGACAGTATCGTAAAGCAAGAGCTTATTTTCATCCTAAGCAAATGAGTTGTCTGGAATCATTCTTTCAAAAGAGTCCATATTTATCCACGAGAGATAGGGAATATTTATCAAGGAAGTTAAATCTTTCCGAAGATCGGGTAAGCAGACCGTTATTATCTATTTAATTTTAAATGATTTTGAAATTTCCCCTCTAAAATATGCTAAATGAATAAACTGTGGGAGTAATTTTCGTCAGAAAATATCACAGCTAAATGAACTTACGGAAACGCCGAGTCATAAAACGATTACTTAAGTCTCCTAAAAATAAACGTCTTGATATTCTGAGGTAGATCAGGACACCTTAGGAATATTTAATAAATGATGGGTAGAGTTGAAACTTAAACTGGCCTCGTTATCGATTTGTATTAGTGGTCTCCATGTTATCCAGGGATTTTATAAAATGAGTTAGGGGAAAAACGTCACTGATCATATCTTAATTTTTGCCTTATCGATCACTTTATCGCTGAACGACTGAAATTCTCTGTTCTTATTTCAACTGAAATCGTAAAATAGTTTCATTTGGAGAACCACTGGCATCCAGGGGTTACTGGCCAGCTGCTTGTCACTAATTTTGGACTCTTCATCAGCACACAGCTATAACTCCGCCAAGAGTCGAGATCAGGACCTTCAGGTTACGAGGCCAGTTCGTCGAATATACAGCCACTGGGATGAAATGAGGCTGAGCATGAACCCTAGCTTCCACCAATTTGCAATATTCTTAGTGAGAAGTGTTGCATAATTAACTAATTCCATAAATACGTGAAATACAGTTTAGTTAAATTTTCTGTTAGTAATAAAATCGAGGTTTTAATAATGTGATAGCAGTTCACATAGTTGTAGATTAAGCTACTGAATAAAATTCCATCCCTTCTATAACTGCTAGTCAGTTTAAAGTTCCTGAAAAATTGCTCTATTCATTCTTTGATAATCTAAGAATATGTTTTATGTGTTTATTTTGCAAATGAATCATATTTACGACTCAAAAAATATCATTTTTAAATTTCTTCATTATGGAAAAGTAGTTTCGTGAAATATAAATGCTTTTTATCACACAGTAAACTCATTTTATAAAATCAGTGATATGGTATCTTGAAGAGTTTATCTGTAGGGATTTGATTTACTTCAAATTTGACCACAGTTGATATCAGTTAGAGAACCGATGTAAACCACTACGGAGTGTACTGGACAGCTGCTGTTTCATCCTGGTTTGCAACTCATCATCAGCACTTATCCACCTGAAACAAATCAATTCCCTAATAACTAACTCTTGGAAATTAATATAATGTTTGCTAGTGACTGGCCACAGGAGGAAGTTGTCTGGATTTCTGGTGAGAAGTCATGACCAGTGGGTCCACCTGGTCGGGAGTGAGGACGAATACTCTCGCCAAAAACATTGGCTGGTGGTGGCGATAAAATCACGAATTTGTAGAAGTTAGAAATGAGCTGAAAATGGGCTGAAACCCCGGCGGGAGTGTACTGTCGATGAGTTCAAAACTAGGACGAAAAAGCTGTATAGTACTCCCTAGTGTTTTGATGGTTCTGTAACTAATATCAACCCGTGATCAAGTTTGATGCAGTATTATTTAATGATGATGTTTTGTGCTATATTTATTGCCTATAACCAAATAAAGGCACTTACATAACTGCCAAACTTCGTTTATATAATTCCATTATTCTTTAACCTTCGATATGGTTGGTAGTAATATTTTCTATATCTCTGGTATTGGTGATGAGTCATTCCTATTGCATGTGTTAGGTGTAGATTCATGTACAAAGAATCAATAATCAACATCTCCCTCCATCTACCTAGATTAATTTTTGGAAATGTACCTCTATCCCATCCTATTATATGGTTGTGTGTTAATGCATTGCAGTTTCTGAGGTATTTCTTTAAATTACTCATCTTTTTGAAGTCATTTATTTTGCGCTTAGCAAATTTATTTATGTTATGGCCAACAGTTCCACTACTATTTTTTCCTTTTCTTGTGAGCATTTGTGATCTTCTTACTCAATTTTATGAGATAGCTGTTTAGCACCAATGCTTTCGGATGTAATACTTAGAGTTTTTGGTCGGTTTGCGAAACATTAACTGAAGCCTGTCGAAACATCATCAGTAAATAATACTGTTTTCAAGTGTTGGTTTTGTAGGGATTTGGTTTGATTGTATGGAGGATTTAATCATGAGCTGACATCAGTTAGAGAAGCACTGGAAAACCTGACAGGGAGTACTGGACAGCTGTTTTGTCCTAGTTTAGGTTTCTTCGGCAGTACGCACCCATCGGGGTTCGAACCCAGGACCTTCTGGTTACAAGGCGAACTCGTAGACCATTGAGCCACTGGGACCCGATCCAATGGTTCTTGAATTCTAACTTCTGCCAATTCACGACATAGCGCGACCACTTCGCAATGTCTTCTTCGATGAGTTACTGCCTCATATTCGCCCTGCTGTACCCTACTGGTCACGGCTTCCCACTAGAACCCCAGGTAATTAACTGCCTGAATAGGGCCAGTCGCTAGTGAGCATCAGATTAATTTTCAAGTATCGGTTTTGTAGGGATCACTGCCCGACTTTATCAAAAAATTTACTTTATCATGGAACTATACTCTACCACAGTGCTCAAGTTCTATTCTTATAAATAATTCCTAACACTCAGTTGACGTGGAAATATTTACAAATCTAAAACCTTATGAGTTTCATTAAAATGTTATATTCGCTCATTTTTGGAAGCTTTCTGATCATGATTGAAAAAAAATAATTACAAGCATATTTCAGGGAATAAATAAAATTTGACTGGTTATTCGTCTAGATAAGAAGGAATACTACACACGAGTCTTAACTGAGAAACAAATATGTAGTGGAGTAGGCCATATAACTTTGAAAGTAGTAAATAGCATTTGTCATTACACAAAGCATCATCTTTTATTTATAGTGCACGACCGATAGCAGCTACTTTGGCCTAGTGGGCGGGCTTGCATATCGCAATGACCCAACAAACTACGCTGGCTGAAGCTAATATTCCTGCAGGTCCCACCATACCAGAAAGGTTGTTAGGATAGCGATTAAACTAAAAGCAGTTACCACCATAATGTAAGATTTTGCTTTTTACAATATGCTGGGTGGTATATGGGCGAAGTGGTACAGCTGGAGAACAGGAATGTTAAGCAATAAGGTGTTTCCCTCATATGACCAAGATGTCAGTTATGTTGTCTCTCCACCCTAGATAGAGTGGGTTAGAAAAGGTCGACCCCAACATTTGTATATCCTGGCTTACCGTGCGGTGGTCCATAGCCGGCGATGAGTTGCTAATATGGAACCAAACCTAAAAACCAGTTCAAACAGGCCGTGAGTGGCCGGTCTCAAGCAGTTGTCCCCTGGACTCTGCGGTCACGCAACACTAACCGTCTCTCTGCTTCAGGTACCTGAAGAATCAATCAACTTCTACGATGTAGGCAGCCGGGAAGTAACAACCGCTCACACACTTCCAATAGCGCACGAAGCCCTCGTAATCATCATTCTCCTTTATCCAGTCAGTCAGTCAGTCGGTTAATGTAGTTTTACATTGTTCAGTATAGTCTAGGGTGATTTTATTTCAGTATTCAATACACAGGTTTTGGATGAAGTCAATATGCCTATTTTAACTTTAGCAGATACTTATATCTACGGATAGTTTCTCAATAGACGATTATTTATAAAACTACTAAATATTTGCTTTATTATTTAACTTACAGATTCGAACATGGTTTCAAAATAGACGCATGAGAGAAAAACGCAAACCTGGTACACAGTGTGATTCTGATAGCTCTTCAATGAATTCATGTTTAAAAGTGGATTATTCATAATTAATTCTGCCTTACTCATAATAACATTCAGAATGTATATATTATTTCATTTCCCCTGATTTATCTGTACATGATGTATATAATTTAACAAATAAATTTATTATTTTACTTTTGTTGCATTTTCTCACAGAGTTTTCTTATTTTAAAGTTTTAGGTGCAGTCTGAGGAATACATATATTTTCAGGTACTGGTCTTTATTGATTTGATTGATTGGCTACAAACCAATACTTGAAAACCAATGAGATGCTCACTAGCGACTGGCCCTATTCACGTAGGTAGTTACCTGGGGTTCTAGTGGAAAGTCGTGACCAGTAGGGTGCAGCAGGTCGGTTGTGAGGACAAATATCCGCCAACGATGACACTGTCTAATGGTCGCGCTATTGTCGTGGATTGGCAGAAGTTAGAATTCATGGGCTGGCCATCAGATCGGGTCCCAGTGGCTTAATAGTCTACAAGCTCGCTTGCCTTGTAACTAGAAGGTCCTGTGTTCAAATCCCAGTGGTGTGGATGCGTACTGCCAAAGATCCTCAGAATATGAAAAAAAAACAGCTGTCCAGTACTCCCTGTAGGTTTTCCAATGCTTCTTTAACTGATGTCAGCTCGTGATGAAATCCTACAACCAATACATATATGTATGTACTCATAAATGAAATGTTATATCCTAAAGCAAACTATTACTAATTGTGTTCCTTTGAATCGAATTACACTGCTGTTACGTTCACTAGGTTATGTTAGTTATTCCCATTCGTAATTGCACTCACAGTGAGGAAGGGTAATACCACACCATTAGTAACAGAAAAATTCTGAGACAGAATTCCGTCCAGTTTGGAAATGGTTGGTAGAATGCAACCATACTATAGTGGGATCATAACTAAACACATATCACTAACCTACTGAAATAATATACCTTAAAGGAACCACTACACGTCGTTGAGAAATATGGCTCAATTATAATAAAAATGTATTGCGTATTTGAGTTCTATATCTCGAGACTTATTTTATGTTGACTTTCTATTTACAAATTCTATTATAATAGAAATAACGTAAAATGCTGAGTGATATTCAAAATGTATAATTCAGTTATAATAGACTGATATTTATTTGGAGAAACACCCTACTTAAGCGAAATATTTCATACACCTGGCTTCTTGATAAATTTCGATGAAGAGGGACAAAATTCGTAGTAGAAAATGAAATCATTCCATTTCACAGGTTCTCCTCATCAGCTGCAAGCTACCCGAAATTACAATGATTGTAAAAGTGACAATAACTTACTCCAGTGTTTGAATGGTATTAGTAGGGAAAATACTATAAAGTTGACGCTGCAAAACAATGGAGATTTGTAGTTCAGGTTGATGATTTTGACTTGGTTTCGTTCTCTCAGCTGGTTGATTTGACTACATAACCTTCATTGTCCTTCTAGGTGACATCTTCAGTGCAAGCTGTAATATAAAGTGAACTTGTTTGATTTCTTCCTTCATAAATGATATAATTGTTGTTAATCCGGGCTCCGACCGATCCGGCATGATATTTCGTGAGTTTGTTTGAATCATAGTATTGGATTGGGTAGCTGCTTTTTGTCTAACCGCTATCCAAACAACCTTTCTGGCATGGTGGGACCTCAAGAGATATAAGTCTCAGCCAGTATAGCTTGTTGGGACATTGCGGCGTTCAAGCCCGACCACCAAGTCAAGGTAGCAGCTTTCCGTCGGGCCATCGACCAAAGGGCGGGTGTACTGCTCATCAGTCCGCTCCGTCCTCCTTTATGGCCATCGGTGAGACCTGGCTATTGAGAGTGGAAGGCATGAAAAGATTAGCTGTCTTTGATCATAGGTGCCTGCGTTCTATTTCCCGTGTGAAGTGGCATAATAAGGTAAGCAATATTGAGTTTGGGCGTCGAGTTATAGGTAAACAGGGGAAATCAATCGACTAAGTTGTGAAGTTACAAAGACAGGTGGTTAGGACATGTGTTACACATGCCTAGTAATCGCCTTCCTCGACCGACGGGCAATGTTAGTTGACATAGGGTCAGGCTGGAAAAGAGCTAGCGGCAGTCAAACCAAAACATGGCACCAGTCAATAAAATTTACAATAGCTAGTCTAAGCCACGTAGGAATGTGTAGACTTCCTGGTTGGGGTCCTGAGGACGGTAAAAACCAATGGTTGGAAACAATTGGTGACATGGCTGAAAATCGTTCTCAGTGGTTGGGGCGGATGCATCCACTTCTTATGACTTATGATTTCTAATGAAACTGTTTTGTTCTTCGTTATTACTATTCCTTTATCTCACATCTCTGTTAACTGTCTCTATTAGGCATTTCTTCTACTTTCTTCTCTTGGTTTGTATGCTACAAAGAGGGGGTGTGGCGACTTGAACTGCCGCACATCAGTGCAAAGTTCTATGTCGAAAACAGACAGACAGAACGATATAAATGTATCTTCTGACAACCGTTGAGACAAGAAAGCTCAAATTCCATGTCCAAGCGATCAATATAAATTTATATCAATCACAACAGAAGTTGTCAGAAGATACAATCATATCATTCATGAAGGAAGAACTCAAACAAGTTGAATTCATATTATAGCTTGCACTGAATATGTTGTCTAGGACAACGAAGGCTCTGCAATTAAATCAATTAGCTCAGAGAACACAACCAAATCAAAATCATCAACCTGAGCTATAAATCTCTTCTGTTTTGCATTAATTTTATAATATTTTCCTTACTACCACTTAAATACTGAAGCATGTTATTGTCATTTTTATAACCATTGTAATTTCGGGTAGCTTGCAGCTGATGAGGAGAACCTGTGAAATGGAATGATTTCATTTTCTATTGAGAATATGATACCTCTTTCTTTAAGTAAAATGTATTACTGCTACACATTAGTCACCATATAGTTGAGAATAAATGTCGAATTGATCGAGCCATCTATGCACTCAAAATAGTTTCTTTAAATATTTAGTTAGTTAAGAAGTGGCTGATTTTCACGCCGAGGGGATGCTGATAAGTAGTGAAAACGGCATATTGAAATTCTTTTGTCTTGTTTTCTAGGTATGCAAATACCGACGACACAGTCACTGGGTCAAGCTTACTCAGCGTTGGCCAACAAGGCTCATAAACTAATTATGGCCAAAAGTCCGCTACATAAAATTGCATAATTTTTGCTGAAATACTTGTTCTTTCAGCCGAATAGTTTCACACACTTCGTACCTTTTACCAGTATGCGCCACTGTAGTAATATTGTCCTTGTTGGAACAAAAATTTTTAGTTTCCTCGAGGTCTGAGGGCATACATTAGCATCAGTCTATTGAAAGTAGAGTTCCCCCTTTTTACGAGTCTCCTCACACTCCATCTAGACGTATTTGACCGCAGAAGAAGGCAGATATGAATCTCTGAACCCCAGATTTATTCGACTTTACCTCACAGAAATTTACTGCCACTCATGAATACAAACAACTGATGAGATATTATACTACTACTACTAGTAGTGTTCTATCATTTAAAATGTCTGGAACACATCCAGTGATAGAGAAATTTGAAGACATTTCAGCGAGAGAAAAAAAACTGATTTTGAATCATCCTTCTGAATTTGATCTGATGTAGTCAGTAAATTTGATTTAAACAAAAACAGCCAAAATCTTATGTTTTTCAGGAGGATTAATGGCAAAACAAAAAAAAACACCAATAGTGAGCAATTTTCAGATGACTTACCCTATGTTGCCTAACCAGCAGCCGCATACTGTTCATCTATTACAAATTCCTTAGAACAACATGTAACGTGTACACTAGTTACAGTTTGACAACATCTGTACATCAGTCATAAGGTTAAAGGTCATATAGACAACAATTAGAGATAATTATTAGATAGGGTATCCAAATTAAATGGTGATTTATAGACTGTTTGATCATGTAAAGATATCATTAAGTTTATAGTAGAGGTTAACGCAAATAAAGAGAAAGAGAATGTGAGATTTATTTATTTATTTACTTAGGAGTTAATCGTTACTAAATAACTAACTATTACACTAATATCCTAACTGTCGGTACAAAAACAATTCCGCAATAGATTATTCAACATGCGTACTCATTTAAGTGAATCTACCTGCACATTGTCACATATGTAATACTAACTCATCTGATGTGAATGATATTGATCTAGGTTCTGAATTTTTTGATTATGGCCTGATTCCACACTGTATTTTTGGTACAAGTATGGAATTTTCAGCATGGATATGGATAGCCCAAATTTAGCAGGCCGACCACTGATATCAGGTGTGCGTCGGTAGGGGATCGAACCCGGACCATGTGCATGGTTGGAGATAGTCCTAACCACTGTGCTACCATATAAATCGGAAGAATATACAACAAGTTCCAACAGAACAGTCTATGTTAATCGGTGAGAATAGATCTTTAATCCGGACTACTTCCATGGCACTAAACCCTGTGAATGTAAAATAATTAGTTGAGGGTTCTGTAAGAGATAGTCTTTGATATAATAATTGAATGTTGGTAATATAATTGATACAGTAGACTTCCTCCATAGAATGGTTTTACTTGATAAAAACAAACAATGATAAAATATTATTCACTAATGAAGTCGTGAGTACACTTTATTGCTTATAATCATATCAAGACTTGATTTTGAATAAAGCAAGAACAACAGTGTGGTTTGTGCAGAATAATATCTTGGTACCACCATTGTTTATTTTGTTGACTTCTCATCTGCTCAGCTTCTTACAGCCTAAATAAATTATGAGGTTTACGGACAGAAGATTCTTAACATACTTGCAAATTTTTCATGGTGTCAGTTGACAGAAGGTTCTGCAATTCATGAACAGGGCTCAGAAAATTGCGCTTATATAGTTTTTACGCAGGGAGTTCAAATTTAAACAAAATAAATATATGCAAACAATGGTGAAGGAATTACGTAATAAAGACGAGAGATGCGTAAGATGAAGAGTGACTAATAAATTAGGTAACAATGTACTGAGTTCAACT